TGGATGGATACAGATGTCCTAATTTAAAGGCAGGTGTTTGCAGAGCAATTGGAACTTATCTTGTTGTGAAAAAATAGATCTCTCTGAAGAGCAGACAAGCCACAGTATGGAAAATAAGGAAGGGGTGGATACAAATGACATTCCAAGGTAAGTTCTTCCACTAGATTAACTTTCATTAGTATTTGTGAGAAAGCACCAGTGCATAGAAAAACAGAACCTTTGTCAACATTTTTCTCTGTTTTCCAAAAAGATTCCTTAATGAATATATTTAGGCTTTATTCTGTGTGTTTATATTTGTATGTTTAGAAGCTTTTTAACATTTGTAAAAGGGATACAGTCTTAATGAGAATGTGCTAAAACAAGTTCATCAAAATATTGTGCATACAACATGAACAGATTATATAATAGTGTCAAGCCTAACAGTAAGATGAAATCATTGTGTTTTCAAGGTGCTAATTAGCATTCTCAGAAAATCACAGCATTTTGGTATTTGGATTATTTTCTATTAGATTATGAAAATATTGGCCATAGAAAAATGGTTCCTAAATGGCAAAGATGCCCTGTATTAAAGGGCTGCAATTTTGATATGCTTTTTTTACATAAATAATGCATGTTATTGGTTCAGCTTATAAGAGTCATTAATACATGAAACATAACATTAATAAAAGTACAGCACAAAAACTTATTGGAATTCATAAGGTACATTTTATACTTTAAGTTATTTATTCTGTGTATATATTAAAATGCTTACTTAACACAAGTGAAACTATTGAAAATGGTGATTTGTAACAGTGCAGTCTCGAAAAACAATATGAAATCTATATAAAATTAAACAAAAAAGTCAGCAAATCACCATTTATCCATTCACTCACCATGCAGCCTAATGTACTCCGCACAGACTGGAGGCAGGCTCTGTGCTCGGTATACCGTAAATGCAATAGATACACACAGTGGGAAGACATGGATAACAATCAAATACGAATGTCAGGTAAGGGATACGGTGAAAATTTAAGCAGGAAAAAAGAGAGAGACACAAAGGGCTAGAGTAGTATTTTAGATAAGCAGTTAATGAAAACCTTTCTAAAAAAGAAATGGTCAGATCAACAGTCAGCCAAAGGCAACTGGAACATGGTTGGAATATTCCAGATGCTTTAGGGAGCCAGGAAAAAATGGAATGTAGTGAACAAGTGTAGGTGGGGCAAATAAAGGGATTGACAGTCAGTAGAAGGTCATCACTCCTGGAGTGACAGAGGCTATAGTGGAAGGTAGGGTTTATTTACTTGAAATTGGAGGCTATTGGAAACTTTAGTTTAGGCAGTGACATGATGTAATGTATTTTAGAAAGAGTCCCTTGGGTCTTACAGAGAAAAGTGGCTGTAGAGGGAAAGGTAGAAGTAGGCAGACATACAATAGTAATCAAACAAGTGCTGAATGGTGGTGGTTTGGAGCAGAGTGACATCACAATGATGTTGCCTGACGGTTGGCAAGGTAGGATTTGAAAACAGCATACAAGGTTTGTCCATTAATTTGCGGAGGGTAAGTAGAGATAGAAAGGAGCTAGCTAAGCATGATTTCAAAGCTTTGAACCCAAGAAACTAAGTAAATAAATACTAATCTGGGAAGCACGTGGTGGTGGTAATGTGGTTTCAAGTGCTATCGGGTATTTAAGATGCCCTTGGTGCATACGGGACTCTGGAGTCCTTGAGACAGGTCCTGAGCGGTGATAAAAGGAGCACTTGGCATTAAAGATGAAGTTTAAAGCAACAGGTCTGAGTTTACCAATTAGAGACTACGCGTGTGGTTAAATAGAAGAAGCTGCGGAACCCAACCTTGCAGCATCTTAAGGAGTCTCTTTCAACATTACATTCTGAGAAGAGTCAGGGGGAGGACCAGCTGGAGCAATCAGTGTGCCCAGAGAAGGGAATGTGTTTCCAACAGGAAAGAGTGATGGGTTCGCTTGATTGACCACTATGGTCAGCAGTGAAGAGGGGATAAGAAACTTCCTGAACAATGTTGAAGGGACAGTAATATTGCAGAAGTTGGAGAGTAGAGTCAACTCTTGTTCAAATTTTGCTGTGTAAGGAGTTGGTAAAAAGGGCAACTTTTTTTGAGCAAGGTTTAGGGAAAGTTGAGTCTAAGTCACACAGGATTACTCAAATAATACATATGCCTGGGAGAGACAGTAAATGAAACCTAGCTACATTATTTTCAGTTATCCCAGGTGCTACATTTGCATATCTGAAAATAAATTTATGTTTTATGCACACAATTATGATTAAAATTCACTGTGGAAAAATCTTGCCCAAAGGCCTCAAAGCTCCTCTGTCTTTTTCAGCTCCCTTTCTTGTGCTCTTTGTATCTAAATATTATATATACTCCGGACTTGTTACAGCATTTTTAAATCATAAGATTATGGCAGACATGGTTACCTGCCTGCTCAGCAGCCATGCTCCATTTTTCCCTTTGAACACAATTGTATTTTAAAGTGGAATGACAAGCTGTTTACCTCCCAGCATTGCAAACTCCCCTCCCTGCTGTCAGGTAAGATGTTTGTAGTTGAGGTAGCCATCTTGTGATGAGGATGATAAAAGGTACTAGTTGAGGAGAACAGAGGAGGAGAAGAACCTTGGTGTTTGGTGACATTGGTGAGCTCCTGCCACAAGCTTATAAACCTCCACTACCAGTCTTCATATTGTCTGGAAACTAATTAAATGCTATCATTAATTCAGTCAGGTTTACGTGGGTATGCTGATGCTATCAATAGTAACTGAAAGCATTGATAATCATTTTTATATTAATTGGTGACTAGAATTTTGGATTTCACTTACTCCTACTGAGGTAGGAGGCTATAATGTTATTAATAAGCTTGGCATTACTAACAATAGCTAATTGTTATGCACACAGTAAGTATTCTTAAGCACTGTTCTAGAAACTTGAGTTGTGTCATTCCATTTATTCTAATAATGGAGGTATTATTATATTTTCCTTTTTTCCACTGAGTTTTAGATCTGAAAACGGATGTTCAGAGAGATTAATAACCTCCACAAGGTTTCGCAAGTAGTTATTAGCAGAGTTGGAATCCGAACCTATGATCTACCTCCAAAGCCTATACTCTTGAGGCCAAGTCTCCCCAGGGCTCCCAGGAAGGTCTTACTTGCCTGTTCCATTAGCTTCCCTCCCAGTATTTTCCTCTTGTGCCTTCATGCTGAACTCCGTAAGGGTAGATATTCCATCTTCATTTATTTTTAAATTTTAATTTTAGTTTTATTTTATGGATATGGGTGTGTGCCTGAGTATATATTGGAGTACCAGAAGAGGCCACTGGGATTCCCTGAAGCTAGACTTACAGGTACTCTAGAGCCAACCAGTGTGGATGCTAGGAACAGAACCCTGGTGCTTTGGCTCTGTGGCTTTGGAGGCTGTCCTGGAACTCACTTTGTAGACCAGGCTGGCCTCGAACTCACAGAGATCCGCCTGCCTCTGCATCCCGAGTGCTGGGATTAAAGACGTGCGCCACCAACGCCCGGCTCCCTGGTACTTTGGAAGAGCAGCAACTGCTGTGAAGCTCTGAGCCACTCTCGAGCTTCTGCCTTAGTTTATTCTTCCTTAGTAGCTATTGCATCAAATCAAACAAAATTGAGGTCCCCAGAAGGAAGAGGTTACTGAGATCACCAGGTACCTTTTCCTCTTGGGTATTATCACAAGTTCACCCTAGAACCTTTACTCACCTCGCTATTTTCTAAGATGATCAGGCTTGATTAATCTTCCTGTCTCGAATTTTCCTTTACAGATTTTTATTAAACATCTTTGTCTTCTTGTACTGTTAACACTGATTGGGAAAAATTCACAGGATATTTTATGCACAGAAAAAAAATCTACATGTACTAATAGCAAGTCATGTAACACTTCACGTGTCTGACTGTCAAATAGTATAATTCAATGAGCATGCTAGATTCCATAAAATATATTGGTTGCTATCATAGTAAAAAGTCCTAACCTGCACATATATTAAATATTTTGCCTGTTGATCTTTGTGAAATTGATGTTTCTAAATTTCATTTTATTAAAGTTTCAACAGGGTAAGTAACTTGTCCAAGTTTATTTTGTTAGTGAACAGATGTATCATCTTAATAAAAATTCTCTTTCCCCTCCTCCCCTGCAGTTATCTTCAGCTGTAGCATGGGCTTCCTTTATGATCTTTTATGTCCTTTTATGTTGCTTACTATTTTGTTATCAACACTTAAGTTAATGACTGACTCACAGTAGCTATTCATGGAATAATGAGAAAATAATTAAATTCTAAATTTATTTTTAGAATGTTATTAATATTCTTAAATAAAATGTATAAAAATATTGGTACCAAGCAAGATTCACACAAAACCCAACTGGTTTGTTGACCTCCTTTTAGAGAGGTGATGTCCCCTGCTCTCACTTCATACCATGCTAAATTCATCAGCCCCTGGACCCGCTAAGCCCTCAGAATTATTCACCAATGAGGATTTTAGGCAATAATGACAAATCAACTGCTGATGACTAGGGTATAAAATGTATTTGCCATTCTGGATCTGAAAGACAACAAAAGTGTTTGTCCTGTTCTAAATTGGATTTGTCTGTGCCAGAAGCTATTCGAATACTGCAGAGGGAGAAGACCACAGATGTTAGGAACAATTACCTCACATCGTCGCACTGACTATCAGGTTCTGAGAGAGAACATTTATCAGTCTAACTGTCTGTCCTGGTGGCTAAGATGGGAGAAATGAAGTCCATATTACTCTCTTCAAAAAGTTTCCAGAAATTCCTCTTCTCTGTGCATAGGCTAAAACGTTCCAGTCCAGAAAAAGTGGTACCCCTTTATCTCCAGAGAATTACATCTGTCTATAAACTGGTCTTCTCAGGGAAGCTGACATCTCACTTGACTTTTGTATTACACAGTGATTTATCTTTTATGGAGTATTATCTAGTAAGTTGGTCCTACACTTCTTCCCTCTTACAGGCAAAGTCCAGGCTCAGAATGGCTGCCAGGCTCACAACTGCCTTCTACAGAAACCCAAACATTTTCTGATGGAAGAAGGAACTTTGCTGACTGACCTCCACCTTTATCATAGGTGATAGGACTGAATGAAGAGATTAATGCAAGTAAGTATAGTTACGGATTAGACCAAGTGGACATTATTTAGCTCAGAAAGTTCAGAAGAGCAGTGTAGAGAAACTTAAAGATGTTCAAAGTAGGAGATGCTGAAAATGCAAAGAAACACTAAACCAGAGACAACTGTGAGGAAATGATCCTGGTAAGACTATGGTATTTTGTTCTAGTTGTATGCCTGCATGGAAAATAAATATATCAAGTTATGCATACTTGTAACTGATCCAGTGACATGAAAAATAATGTTTTCCTATTAATATGCTAAGGTGTTTTACGTAAAACCAATATACTTTCTATAATATCTTTATTAATTACTCTCAATGATCTCCCTAGTTCTAAAATTAAAGCACATTACTTAATAATTCCAACAGTTTTGCTCTTCCAACAGTTAGTTGTAAATTGATTTGCATTCCTCAGAAATGACATCATTTTTCATTAATTCTGAGATCTTTTCTTGTGTAGTTTCCAGAGTGCCCTGAAGGCTTACAAGTCAAGTGTTTAAACTGGTCAATAATAAATGGCAACGGATGCCCAGTGCTTTAGGAAGGGTAATGGGAACGGGAGCATGAGAGATGCTGCCCCTCATATGAGAAGAAAAGGAGAGGGTCATTAAATACATACTAGAATATAGTAAATGGGATTTGACATCTTCTGTCTACATAAATAAGTAAGGAGAAGCACACAGGTGACTGAGCTAGCATTTCCTTTAGCTGTGTGACTAGGTATTAACTAGCTGTGACTTCACCCCTTCAAGAAATGTATGGCCTGATGTAGATGGCCTTTTCTCTGAGGATATACTTGACATAGTTCAGGAGGTAGTAGGGATCCATCTCACAACTCCAGAAGATGTTTGGAAGAAGCTGTACTGACACCTACTACTTTATGAGCTCTCTTACTTTTGGGGGGGTTCTCTGTGGTTTTGGAGGCTGTCCTGGAACTAGTTCTTGTAGACCAGTCTGGCCTTGAAGTCACAGAGAAACACCATCACCGCCCTGTGCAAGCTCTCTTACTTTTAAAGGGAATGTTACAAAGGAATGAAGATCGGCTACTAATTGTTTTCATCGCCACTGAAATATTGTTGCTTTTAGGTCTCTATCAGTGAACTGAGCTAAGAAGTATAGCTGCTAATACATTAATATTAATGGGCGTATGTGTCCACATAACTATTTATAGATCTGTATTTAGAAATACATAAATATCATCATTCATCATAATGCCCTTGTTCTAATCTGACCACAGAATTTATCCTAGCCTTTTCCATTTGTGATCTATTATCTCTGACAGTGAGAAATCTATCTATATGTATTCACTCTCCAATTCTGATTGTATCAGTTACTTTTTATTGCTGTGAGAAAATACCATGATAAAGGCAATATATAGAAGCTTATTTGGGCTCACAAGTCTACGGTGGGAGTTCCTAAGGTCAGGAAAGTATGGCAGCAGGCAGTCAGAGCAAGAGGGTGATTACACCATCACACAGGAAGCCATCTTCTAAAAGTTCCTTGACCTTTCAAACAGCTCCACCAACAGGGGAGCAAGTGTTTAAGTGTGTGAATACACAGGAGACTTTCCTCATTCAAATCACATCTTCATACAGAATTAATGTCCGAATGGCCACTTTCTATCTCCATGAAATATCATCTATAGTAGGTAAATCCCAGTGTTAGCATGTTGTGTCTATCATTTGTCTTGAATACATCTGCCAAATACATGTTTCAAAAGGTAGATTGGTTGTGCCCTACATTCCACTCAAGAGTGTTAGGTAGTATTGCTCATTCATATTTCCATCAGGTTTGTTTTTAACTGCGACTTTTTATTTGGTGTTTTTCCTACATCCTGCTTTTTTTTCGTCTCCCTGCTTATTTTTTGGGACTTCAAACACTATATGGGGCCCATCCATATAACTCAGGGTCATCGTCTCACCCCCAAATTCATAATCCCATCTGTAAAGAACTTTTCCCTCAATACTGTAGCATTTCTAGGATGCAGAAGTTAGGGTGTGAACTCATCTAGGGAGTCATTATCAGCCTGTCATACTGATATCACTAGTCTCTACTTTTCTGTAAGTTTTTTTTAAAGATTAAGCAAACACATTTATGCTCTCCTGTGTCATTTTCTTTTTAACATAAAAGGTAGTATACAAGGGCTAATCTTCTCTACTTTGTCTTTATTTCACAACATATCCACAAAAATCTTCTATTCATTCATAGAAACCATTCACTTTTTTACGGCTTATAGAATACTATCCTTTACTTATTCTATAACTTACTTACTTACTCTTCATATATAAGTATATAGATTGTTACTAATACTTTTTGTTTCAAATGGTAGTAGGTGTATATGTTCATGTGTATTTGCAAGTAATGTAAGTGTATATTTTAGATATTTTAGTATTGCTGGAGGTGTAATTTCAAGGGTGTATTTCTTAATACAGGGTAGGGGGATAAAGAGTCAAATATAAATACATAGAAATGAGGTAGGCAAGTGTAGGAATGGCTCAGCAACCTAGGCACCCAGTGGTTTGAGCTGCATAGAAACCCTTTCTCAACAATATACTTACAGAGCTGGAATTTCCCACCTGCAGAGAATTGCTTGCACACCCCTTTTAAAACAAAGCAAAGCAGTCATTTAGATAGATCGTTCCATGGGAATTTTTGGTAAATCCCTCTTTGTGGCCAAATACATCCAGAAAAGTATCTTAATCCTAGAGGCAGGGAACTGATCCAGCGTGAGCTAGTTCAGGGAGCATGCATAGTAAGGCTAATCGTGTCCCTTGTGTGACTTTTTATGGGAAAAGAAATCACCTGTCTACCATCTTACATCTATGTGTGACTGGACAGACATATGATCAAAATCATAAGTAGTATGGGAAAGGACACACTCAGTGCACAGACTTATGTAACCCCACATGTCAGTCAATCGAGAAAGCCACCCATACCCTGACTCTACCAACAAACTTCTCCTTGCAAGCCCTATAAGACAAGTGTAGGAGTGAGTGAGCCCACAATATTTTCCATGCCCCAAGGGGCGTGGACAGTGGATGGGCACAGGTGATAAAAGGAAGCGAAAGAAAAAGTACTCTCTCTCTTGGAAGCTAGCCACGTTCCCAGAGCTTCTATCCCTGCTTATCTTGTAAGTATATTTAATAAAATATATTAGACATCTTTTTCAGATAGCATTATTTCCATCTTCAGACAAGGTTCTATAAGTAATCACAAGTTCTCAAACCATCTTGTTCAGAGCTTGCTGCTCCCCTGCAGTGGATCTAATTTGTCCTTTTACTCTTCTTTTGTGTAGAATCTCTTGCTAGTTTGCTATTTGTATGTGCATCTTCACTTCTCTGAACAGCAGGATCCCAGGAAATGCTCAGTACAGACAGAGACTGATAGTAAAGGAAGTGCCAGTGCCTACAGTTTTCCTCTAAAAGCAGGTCTTGCAGCTTCACACTCTAACCAGCCTATCATGGCAGGTCATGCTACCCACTGTCCTTGTCAGGATTACTTTGGTTGTACTTTTCAAATATCCAACAGGTCTGGTTGATAATGAAATTTAAAGTTTTGTTCTTGGAACTTTGAATAAGATTGGGTGCTATTTCATTGGGGGACATTTTAGTATCCTTTGTAATTATGTTATATGAATACAAGAGCTCTGTAATGATTCAAATTGTGCTCATAAATAAATCTAAAGGCATATAAGATTCATAGGTCACTGCTCATCCTATGTTAGATTAAAAATAATGAAACAGTCTTATGACTACTTTTATCCAACATTGCATTACTATGCTGACTAGTTAAGTAAATCATGAAAAAGAATAAAAGATTAAGAAGTTGGAAATAAAGGCATATTCTTTGTAGCTAATATCACTCTCTATGAACAAAAATCAAAAGGGCCCAGAGTTAACACATTAGAGCTGTTGGGGTTACTTATAACCACTCATGGTTCAGATAGTGTCACTGATTAATTGCATTACACATTGCACAAAATATAACTAGTAATTATTTATGACATGCTTGCCATTACTTTTAAATAACTCTGACAAATATCTGAAAAAAATACCATTAGAGGGGTATGATTTACTTTGATTCATGGTTCTAGAGGGCTGAGTCTATGAGCTCTTGGCTCCTTTATTAAAAATAGTTTAAATTGGGCACAAGTCTGTACTTTATAGATTTCCTTTTGAGTCACAAACTCTAAAGAAACTATTTAATGTTTGTATTCTGAAATAAGAACAACAGGTCTGTGGTCATGCCCCCTTGAATGTGCCCAATTTCATCTGAAGTAATGGCAGCAGCACTCTAAAGGGCAGCATTTGCCAGAGTGGAGGAACATTGCCAAAGAACTTCATTTTAGGCTAAGGATGTGGATCAGTGGTAGACTGACAGTCTAGCGTTCACAAGACTTGGGCTTTTTCCTTCAGCACCAAACAACGTGAAAAGCTGTATTTCCATTTCCACCCATGGCAGAATAAACTATATGTGAATAATGCTGAGTTTTGAGTTGCAATGCAACAGTATCTCAAGAGCAATACTGAGAAAAATGGGACTTTAAAAGTATATATACTCTATTGAGTTTACATGTAAATAAAGCTAAACATTGAGTTATTTAGGAATATGCTATGTGGATTATATAGTAAGACTATTTTTTTGAAATAAAGATATAATAAACATAGAATTGCCCTTGCAGTGACACTGATAGGTGAGTTGAAGTCACACACGGACTTAAGGCTACAGTCTGTTCTGTTTCTTAACATGCACTTTTTAGCTTAATATTTTCACTTTGTTTAGAACTGAAGGAATAAGCAAGGGCCTTGTGAATGGTAGGATGTACATATATATTTGTGCTGGTTAGGTTTTTGTCAACATAACGCAATCTCGGTTCATCTGAAGAGGTGATCTCAGCTGAGAAAATGCCTCCCTCAGATGGGTTTGTAGGCATGTCTTCGGGGCATTTGTTTTATTGTTGTTTGACGAAGGTGGCTCCAATTTTTTACGTG